ACACGAGCAGCTCTCTGCTCTTTGTTATTGTCCAATACTGCAACACTTTTACATGGACCTGGGCAAACAACAAGGCTATAGCTTTTTAAATTTTATGTGTGGATGTTTTGCCTGATGATGTGTCCAGTGGCAGTGAAAGTCAAGTGCTGGATCTCCTGAACTAGAGCTACCAGATAGCTGTGAGCAGCGCGGGCACTCGAACCCAGGTCCTATGAAGAGCAACAAATGCTCTCAACTGCTGAGTCAACTCTCCAGCCCCCTGCTATAACTTTTTAAATAAAAAGATCTAGTAAATTCGAACAGAAGACCTAACCCCTTTCCCTACCTGAAGATAGAAGGTAGACGAGAGCCCTTGCCTAGGGAATTTAGGCAAGAGTAGGATCATAAATGCTTCTGCCAACTGAATTCAATAAAGCACTGCTTTTCCTTTCCAGCTGCAAAGCAGAGCAGTCTAGAATCGGGGACGCCAGTGTTTTCCTCTAACTTCCTGTCCTAGGGATTCACTCTTTCCTGTCACAGGCCTCCATTTCAATGGATATTAACTTGCTCCATTAGAGACAGTCCAAGTTAAACTTGGGTGACTGGTTGTAAATTATTCTTTGAAAATTTGGCTTTTAGCACAGCCCAATATTGCCCGTTCATTGTCTTCGTGCCCTGCCTAAACCAATATTTACTAAGCCAACCAGGACTCTAATCCCAAAGGACAACCAAGCCCTGTCCTAAATTTTATTGATCTTCAGGTGCTAGATATGCCTCAAATTGAAAAGAGAAACAATTTAGCACACTTCCCCATTAGCAGTCTGGGCAATGCTCACTCACGAAAAGCAAGAACTGGAGGCTCTTTTACTAGACACAGTTGAAAGAATCAAGGGAAAGCTCCCGAATAGACTAGCTAAAAATTAATATAAACAGAAACCCTCCTTAAAAGACACGTGCGACCAGCAGCACTGCACATGCGCAAAACTGTCTCCCCTCCCCCCCGCCCCGCCAGTACTCACGCACATCTGTGACCCTCGAAACTACAAGTCCCAAGGTGCCGTGCGTTCAGGACGTCAAAAGCTATTTATTGCTGGTGCTGGTCCCTCAGAGTTGGAAGGCTCCAGGGAGGGGAGTGTTTGATCAAACATGGGCATTGACTCCAGGTAGAGTATGGAATGCAAACCATTTAATACTTTAACAATGTGTTCGTGTTCAAATGGCATGTGACTACTTGCACAGCTGGTTCTCACTGTGGGTACTAGAGACTGAACTCATGTCTTCAGGCATTCCTGCGTGCTCCTTGATCCACCAGTCATCTCACTGGCCCATTTTAAAAAATCTATTGTTGAGGCATGGTCTACCTGTGCTCCCCAGGATGGCCTCCAACCTGCAGTCTTCTTGCCTTAGCCTCCTGAGGGCACAAGAGTGTGACCACAACACTAGGCTTAATAGCAGTCTCTTTCCTTTCTCCACAAGAGATTTTGAATCAGGCCAAGTTTCCTGACCTGTTTTTGCTATTTTGATCCAATGCTCTCTTTCCTGTATTGCCCAGGCTGATGTTAAACTATACAGTCACCTCAGCCTTCTAGGTAACTACAGCTGAGCACCACTATACTAGGGTCTCCCTTCTGTTTTTAGCATTTATTCCCTGCCATGAGGTTTCCAAATATTATTTTCCTATGCAATTCTCACAGTGGCCCTATGCACCCAATATTTACTTGATTTCAACTAAAAGCATTTAGCACAAGCCCAACTTTGAGTCTGATGGGTGAACACAAACTCTCAATTTACAGAAGTCTCACCACAACCACTCTTGGTGTTTAGAATGTGTAACTCATGGTCTCTCAAGTGTTCACCTAGCATACATGAGGCCTTGAGTTCCAGCTCTCATTTAAAACGTGTCTGGGAGAGGCAGGAAAGAAAGACGGCTAAACAGGTTAAGGTACTTATCACCACACCAGACAACGAGTTCATCCCACGTGGTGGAAAGAATAGAACTGACTGACTCAAGGCAAGTCTACTGCTTCCATGTCCATGTCATCGTGCCCCCACACACACACAATTTTCTAAAAAATGTTACAAGGGCTAGAAAGATGCCTCATGTATTCCTCTTGCAAAGGGCCTAAGTTCAGAACCCAGAACTTACAATGAGGAAACAAGGAACCACCTGTAACAACAGCTCGAGAGGACCTAAGCCCAGGTCCTCTACAAGAGCAGCAAATGCTCCCAACCAGGCTGCCATCTCTGCAGCTCCAGTCTAAGTTTTAGACAAGGCCTCCAAGATGTAGGTCAATGTTGGTGTGTGCTACCATGCACCAGAAGTGTAAAACATAGCCTGTAACGTAAGCTAACCTCTCAGAGAGCCAATGAAAGCGGCTTTAATAACAGTAAACACAGATACCTTCTTTTGCTTTTTGCAGTCATGGGGATCATGTAGGCTAAGCTACACTCCAGCCTTGGCTCTTTACAACCCAAATTTAAAATGACTCCATATCTTTAAAAACAGACAAAAGAAGCCGGGCGGAGGTGGCCCACGCCTTTAATCCCAGCACTCGTGAGGCAGAGGCAGGCGGATCTCTGTGAGTTCCAGGCCAGCCTGGTCTACAAAGCGAGTTCCAGGACAGCTTCCAAGACAATACAGAGAAACCCTGTCTTGAAAAACAAACAAACAAACAAACAAAAGAACAGATGGTGTTGGTACATGCCTTTAATCCCAGCACTCAGAAGGCAGAAGTAGGTGATCTCTGAATTCAAGGTCAGTTTGTCTACAAAGTTCTAGGACAGCCAGGGTTACATAGAGAAACCCTGTCACAAACTCTCCCCAAAAGCCAAGTGTTTAGTACACACATTTAATTCCAGCCCTTGGGAGGCAGAGTCTGGTGGATCTCTGTGTTTGAGGTCAGCCTGGTCTACATAGTGAGTTCCAGGACAGCCAGGGCTACATAGAGAAAATCTTGTCTCAAAATGGCCAAAAATAAATACACACTAAGATCTGAGTCACAGACACAGAGCAATTGGCTAGAAAGACAGCTCAATGGTTAAAGGCACTTAGTGCTCTTCCATACAACCAGGGTTCAGTTCCCAGCACCCGTCAGCTGGCTGACAAATGGCTCGAACCCAGGCCCAGGGTATTCAACACCTCTGTACACACACAAGCAGACACAGACATATAAATGAAAAAGGGTAAGTGATTTATACAGAATCATACAGCTAACAAGCACAGTAACAGGTGGAAGAGGGTTGTGGCTCACCCAAATCTGTACTTGGATTTCCTTTCACATTTCCTAAGTCACACACCTGGTGTTAAACTCTGTGATGGGAAAGGCCTGGATTTCAGCTCGCCCTGCTTATTGACACACTCCAGAATAGAGGCTAAGCCGCTGTAGCAGTGACCTACTTGTGTCTATGTGTCCTTAAGATGCAACTTTTGCTGGCTTCCAAGGAGACATTTCTCACATTTCACTCCATTAGCTTGTGTTTCCTCCCCCATTCTCCAACACCCCCCCCCAAGACCTATGAACCCTAGACCTTTATACCTACTGTTCCCTCTGCATGGAGCACTTTCAACACCCTTCCACAGTGGCCAGGCTCTGGAGCAAATGTTATCCTCTCAGGCTGTCAACACTGACCAACTTTATTTCTGTATGTGGTTTTAGGGAGAAAGCCTACATGAGACAAGGGTTACCTTGAACTGATACAACTGCCTCTGTCTCCCAAGCACTGAGATCATGGGCATGAGTCACCATGCCCAACTCCTACATTGTATGTGTTAACTGAGTAAATGAACACAGTGCCTTCAAATTGCTTTGACAGAAAGGCCAGGGAACTATCTCAACATTCCAGGATCATAGCTATCTGTCTTTCCTCAGGTCCTATCAGAGCTTACCACTGTCCAACCTGTCTTTATAGTGTCTGAGTCACTTTCTCATCTCCCTCCCACCAGACATTGATCAAATGTCACCTAAGGAGGCTAGAAAGATGGTTTAGCTTTTAAAAAGCATTGCTATTTTTCCAGAGGACCCAGGTCGAGTTCCTAGCAACTATACAGCAGCCCACAACCAACTGTAACTCTAGTTCCAGAGGATCTGATGCTCTATTCTGGCCTCCACAGGTACCAGGCATGCATGTGGTACACAGACATACATGCAAGCAAAAGTAAATGCATTCCCAGCACTCAGGAGACAGAGGCAGGCAGATCTCTGAGTTCAAGACCAGTTTGAGACCTGGTTTACAGAGCAAATTCCAGGACAGGCTCCAAAGCTACACGAAGAAACCCTGTCTGGAAAAAAACAAAAACAAAAAAAGGAAATACATTTTTAAAAAAAAAGGAAAAAAAACTTCTAAAACAGTGACATAATGACTGGAGAGATGCCGCAGCCATTAAAAGGCTAGGTTCACAACCAGAAATATAAAAAGTGGCCTAAAACAGATATCCTTCCCCACAAGTTTCTATCCTATCCTTGTTAGTAGTCACCACCCAAAAAGCCTTCCTTGGCCTTTTTCTTCCCGCTGTCTCCTATGAGGACAGGGAGACTGTCAGCCGATTCATGCTCTGGTCCCTGGAGTCCAGAACAACCTTGGCTTACAATAAGTGCTTGGCCAGTATCTAGAGAATAAATTAAAAAAGCAGCTTTGTATTAACCAAAACGTAAGACTAGTGAACTACACAAACGTGGAATCTGAAAACTGAAAAGCGCCTTATGTGCACGAGGCAAATACAGTCACACTTTAGTACAACCCAAGTCACAGCTAAACTGAGGTTTGTGAGGAGACTTGGAAGGAGACATACCCGTGCACATAAGAGACTGTCTCAAAACAAAACAAACACAAAGAAGCCAGGACTTTAAGTGCCACAGTTACTAAGGAGGGAGGGAAGGCAGAGATCTTGTAGGCAGCACGTGCTCCTGCCTACAGAACCCTCCCTTCGGCCTTCACAAAGGGTCCACTCCGCACTGGTAGGTATGGTAGCCACTAGTGAGCAGTCTTAGCTTTGAGATCGCAATGACAAACCAGCACACAACTCCAGCACTAAATCAGGTTCTTTACTTCTTAGAAGTGACTGCTAAAAGGAGAGAGACAGCAAGAAGAGACAGACAGAGCCAGAGAAAGTGAGGTGGTGGGAAGCCAGGGGACAGTAAACCACTGGTCTAGTAAGTCTCAGGAGGCAAGTGCTCAAGGTAAAAAAGAGTCCTGGAGAATGGTGTGCGGCCATGGGAAGCGCCTCGGTTTCCTTCTGTGTATCAGTCCTCCAGGAAGGCCGCTGCCATTACCACATTAAATAGTTATGTACATCGCAGAGAGTCCAGGTAATGAGCACCTGGGAAGGGGTCATTTCACCAGGGGCCGAGTTTTATCATCGTCACCGCACTGGTGGGCTTTGTACTTTTTCACTTCTGCCATGTACTTGGCCCATGCGTCACCTTTACTTGTTAATACCTGTGGGATGGGAGGAGGGGAGGAACGGTTGGAAGATAGATGTCCAAGAGGTTGGGGACATGAGTCAGGAATGCCATGAGACAACTAACCCATTCCCAATGTCACCCTAAGGCAGAAGCAGGTTGGGGGGACCTCCCACCCTACCAGGCCCCCCCATCCAAACAGAGCTTGACCACTGGGCAGAGTCTGGAAGGAAAAAGCAGTTAGGGTGGCACCCTAGCAGCCCACTCACCTCATCCTCCGTCTTCTGCTTCTTGGCTACTATTCCCGTCTTGAGGGCTAGTTTGTTCCCGCCTCTGCGCTTGCCCACCTGGGTGAAGGGACACAAGACTGCAAGGGTTACAGGAGCCGGGCCCGCCCTTGGCGGTGCTGAGGCCCACTACACCTTCCTAGCGACGCCTCGCCCAGCTCCTCCAGCCGGCCGACCTGCGCAGCAATCAGAGAGGAGCACACTGGACTCAGCGCCTGCCCTGGGCTGCCATGCCCAGACAGTCCTGGGCCCCAGGCTACCCTCCCAGGGGCCAGAGAAGAGCTCACCTTGCTGGAGACTGGCTATGCCCTCACTCTTTCTGTCCAGGCCTGGCCCTGTCCTGGCAGGGATCACATAGGTGGCAATACCTTTATCGAGCATCACTATATACTGAAGCTTATATAATCACAGAGTGCTGGGTCCATGTTATCTCCTCTAACATTCAGTTACATTATTTGAAAGATAATAACCTTTAGAGATAAAGACAAGTCTCTGGAAGGGATGGACTGGCTGCAACAAGAGAGCAATACTCAGGATAAAATGGGGCGAAGCCAGTGGGAGCATCCTGAACCACAAATCCCCTGCCTTGGTTTTTTGTTGTTGTTGTTGTTGTTGTTTGTTTTTCGAAGACAAGGTTTCTCTTAAAACAGTTCTGGCTGTCCTGGAACTCACTCTGTAGACCAGGCTGGCCTTGCACTCACAAAGATCCGCCTGCTCTGCCTCCCATGCTGGGATTAAAAGCGTGCATCACCCCCACCCAGCTGGCCTAGCTTTTTTAAGAGGTGTAACTATCGTGGCTACTCATGAACAAATGAAAATAACAGTAACTCTATTACTGATCCCATTCCTGGAAAAGATTTCAGCCTCTACTCTTAAATGTCACATGGATCTTAGTCCTGTCTCTTTCTACTTCATCTAGGAACAGATGGGAACCCTGGTAACCCATCTTCTCCCCTAACTGAGGGCCTCTAAGACACCATCCTGTACTCAGCTTCAATTAGACGTCAGTCAGCGGGACTGTCCCCTCCCCAATCACCACTTCTTGTGTGGCACTGCAGAAGCAATCTAGGCTCTCAAGCACTTGAAGCTCTCTACTACTGAACTAAATGTCCAGACCTCTTGTTTTTATTTAGAGACAGGTCTCACTAAGTTGCTCAGGCTGGCTCTGAATGCATTCTATTCTTAAGATCCTCTAGCCTCAGAGTAACTGAGATTATATGAACACACTACTGTACCCAGCCACTCAGACATACCCTTTTCGGTATTTTTAAAAAACAAGTTACTGCCAGATAACCTTGGCTGAATTCAAATTCTGCAATCCTCCTGTCTCAACCTCCACAGTGCTAGGACTGATTACCCGTATGTGCTGCCTTGTCTGGCTCACGTACCCTTCTAAGAGCTAAAGAAACTTAAGCCTTGCCCCAAACCACAGAGCTGGATCCAGGATTTCACCCACAATATTATCCTCAAACCAAAATTTCTCCCTCCTCACTACAGGACCTCTTAACACCTCAAAACTAACAAAAATTATATATCCAATTTATTTAACCCAGAGCTCCTCAACCTTGTACTCTTGACATTTTCAGCTAGGTCATTCTTTGTTATTCCATGCACTGTAGGATATTGAACAGCATCCTTGTACCTACCCATGGATGTCACTAGCATCTCCTCTCAGAGTTTTAACACCCAAAATGTCTACAGACTTTACCAAATACACGAGGGTAAGGAGACTTGTCCCCAATAGAGAATCACTGGTTTAGTTCTTTCTGTAAGAGTCTCTACTGACTTTTCTATGGAATACTCACATCAAAAGGTGAAATTACGCCAATTATTAGAACTACAGAAAAACGGTAGGCAACCCAGGCTCCAAGAACCAGCGATCTTTTCTGTCAAATTCACCACTGAGTACCCAGCACAAGGTAAGGTGCTCAATTAACGGACAACAGTTAAATGACACAGAAAGTAATCAATTGATCTTCCTAAGGCAACAAAGTCAGTGGTCTGCTTTTTCTTGTTGGTTGGTTCTGTTTAATTAGGACAGGATCTCGCTTTCCAGTGCTCAATCTTCTTGAATCCGGAGTGCTGCTATTGCGAGGCGTGTGCCACCACGCCCGGCTACGCTCCGTGCTCTGAGTCTAACGAATGCAGCAGATTCAAAAGTCCTCTCCTTTTCCCCAAATTGTGTCTCGGTACCCACTAATCAAAGTCTGGGTACAAATCAAACAGGAATCCTAGGATCTAGAGTCTCCTATCCCCCAGAGTGCTGCTTCCAGTGCAATTTCCCGGTTCCCAGGTCCCGCGAGTTAAGATCTGCGGGTTCCCACTGCCTCCCAGAAACACCTCTCGTCCGGAATCCAGGTTCGACATTCTCAGCAAACGACCGGGACCGTCGGGGCATCCCGGCGGAGGACTGATTGGACCATGACGCCCCTTCCCGGGCCCGACTCCCCCTGCCAACACGGGCCCCGGCGCCCGCCCCCACCCCCGCGGCTCCTTACGAAGCTGAGCGTGGGGCCTGGGCCGCCCTTCCTCTTCGGATTCCCTGGGCCCGCCGCGGCGGAGGCCGATGGGTCGGGTCGCTGCGGGCCCGGGGGTGGCTCCTCCTGCCGCTGTCGCTGCTCCTCCTCCATCTTCCGCTTGAACAGCTCCAGGAAGCTGCCGTCGTTGGCGAACAAGTTCACACCGCCGGACACCGGACTTGAGCCCGACACCTCGTCGTCCCCGCTCTCGGGTGACGTTCCCGGCCCCGACTCAGCCCATCGGCTCCTGCCGCCGCCCGCTGGGCCGGGCGCCTCCCGACTCGGAGGCTCCGCCCGTCTCCCTCGGGCAGCCATTTTGTCGCCAGGTGCCGCGCAAGGGACTTCGGGAAAGGATCTCAGACCGCGCGCTTGGCGCGGAACTGGCTTCGTCTGGAGCACTGCATGCTGGGAAGAGATCCCAGAAGCCAACGCGGGGCGGGCGGGGCCTGCATGGGGCAGGCGGGGCCTGCGTGGGGCAAAGGCGCTCTGACCTCACGGTCAGTGGGTGGAGCCTAAAAGCCGGGTTCCTTTCCTTCTGCTCCTCGGATTTTCCTAATCCTGCCAGACGGAGAAGCTTCCTCGAAGAGAGCACTATCGTAGTCAGCCACCAGAACTCTGTAATGGAAAGGATCTTGTCTGGGGACTGTGTGCCCAGCTGACTCTTGGGAATTTGCGCGGCCTCTAGCTAGGTCTAGGAATCTCCTGTTAGAAATGGAAGCTTCTGCCGGGCGTTGGTGGCGCACGCCTTTAATCCCAGCACTCGGGAGGCAGAGGCAGGCGGATCTCTGTGAGTTCGAGGCCAGCCTGGTCTACAAAGCTAGTTCCAGGACAGCCTCCAAAACAATACAGAGAAACCCTGTCTCGGAAAAAAAAAAAAAGAAATGGAAGCTTCTCTAGATGGGGCATCTGTCTCGGAATTCACTCTCTTACCCTTAAACAAGGGTACTGCTGGCTGCGTGCAGCTAGACGCCCTGTCTGAGGAGTAGTAGCGTTTTAGAAGTTGAGCACTCAGATGAAGCCGAAGATATTTCTAGCCTGATCCTTGTCTTAAGACTTAATGTTCTGAGCTATGTTCTGCACCAAGGGACTAAGAACCCTTGTATTCCTTCCCGAGGACAGGCATTCAATTCGAACAGCATTTTGCTGAACTTGGTGCACACACGGGTACACGGGGGATCGGGGGTGAGCAGAGCGCCAAGCGCAACAAGAGTTTCGGAAATTAAAGTTCTCTCGGCAAGGACGACTGCTACAAACGGCACTCCTGCCCAGCATGTGTATTCCGGGCACACAGGACAAAGGTCTGCATACTCTTACCACAGATGGAGTCTTCTTAGCCCTTTTAGCGACCCTACTAACCATTTCGTTCGTGGTTGGTTTGCGGCAGGAGTCAGGTGGCTCACAACCAACTTAGTAACTGGCGGGCACAAAGAGATGTTGGGGTCCAAAACAAAGTGAGAGGGAAATGACAATGAGGAGACGGAGCCCTGTAGACGCGAAGCAGGAGACACCTCCGCTGTAACTTTGTTCAAAGAGCTTAGACAGGATGTTTGGCTGGTTGCTAAGGAGAGACTGGCTGACGCCGGCAGGGACTTGAGCGTGACTAGTGGAAGTGAGACAAGATAGCCAATGAAAAGAGTACCGCAAGACTTAGGGTCCAATCGGTGGAGGGCAATGCTGGGGTCACACCAAGACGCTCACGAGACGGGGGAACTCTTAGAAAAGTACAGACCAAAGTTCACCAGGGCGAGCCCTCGACGCATAAAGCGGGAGAATGTAGCGTCCGTTGTCCCTAAACGTCAATGCAGGGGGAAAAGAAACCAGACTTCCAGCCTCCACGGGGATGTGGCAGACTCATGTCCCCTGTAGTTGTTTAGGACGTGGTGCGTTCCGCTTGATCACGTGAGCCGGCTCCAAGATGGCGGCAGGGGTGGCCGGGTGGGGGGTTGAAGCAGACGAGTTCGAGGATGCTCCTGACGTGGAGCCGCTGGAACCCACGCTTAGCAATATCATCGAGCAGCGCAGCCTTAAGTGGATCTTCGTCGGCGGCAAGGGTGGCGTGGGTAAGACCACCTGCAGGTAAGGAGGCTCTGGTGGGGCCAAGAAGACGGGTGGGATGTACCACCGGACGAAGGGGAGGACGGGGACCGGCTTTTTCATCCCGAGCCGGGCAAAGCGAGCCGAGAGGGGCTCTTCGGAGTTGTACTCTCAGGAAGTTACTGCAGCTTGCCGAAGATACCTCCTAGATGCAAGCCTGGCGCCCTGAGTTGGATTACCCCTCTTTGGGGCTTGTGAATCCAGCGCGTGGGGTGTGCAGAGGAGCATTTCAATACCGAGGTCGGCTGGACGGAACCCCTCGGGAAGTTCAGAGTAGAGGGAGGGACATCAGTGGAAGCTGTTACAGTATGACGAACCTTCCGTTTGATGCCCAGCGCGGGAAAGAGTAGAAGGGGGTGTGAAAGGCACATAACTACAGTGCCTCAGTCCATTGAGAGGTGAATTACATTGTTGTCCCTGAGCAAGTGGAGGGAGGGAGGGAGGGCAGTCTGTGCTGGTTGGACAGCTGGACCGTGCCACTGCATGCCCCAAAAGCAGAAGCAGGCACTGGGACAGCCCGAACCAGTCAACTGGACACGGCACGCCAATCCAATCCGGATGGAAGGGTCAGATGGTGATCGCTGCAGGTATCAAAGCACGATCTCGAGGGGACCCGTACTTTGCTCTTAAGGCCCCTCTGATCCAGGTCTCTCTGGCCCGACCTTGCGTTTCCTGCTATAAACCCCACTACCAAAGTGGGCTCCTCACTGCTTGTCTTCCCATCTTTGTGCAGCTGCAGCCTGGCGGTCCAGCTATCTAAAGGACGTGAGAGTGTTCTAATCATTTCCACAGACCCAGCCCACAACATCTCAGACGCTTTTGATCAGAAGTTCTCCAAGGTGCCTACCAAGGTCAAAGGCTATGACAACCTCTTTGCTATGGTAAGGAAGCTGGGACCTAATGACAGGTGCATGCCTGATACCCATGCAGGCCAGAAGAGAGTATCAAATCCCCTGGAACTGGAGTTGCAGATGGTTGTGAGCCACCATCTGGGTGCTAGGATTGAGCCCAGACCCTCAGGAGGGGCAGCTCTGCCTGTGCTCGTAACCACTGAGCTCCAACCGTAAAGCCCTCTGGAGCTTACCTACCAGCAGCCTCCAGGCTATCATAGTCTACACACTCAGCTCTGCTGTGTCCCAGGCCCCCAGAGGGACGTGTGGGAAGGAACCGGTTAAGGAACAGGGAGAAAGGTGACCAAACGGAGCCCAGCAAGCAAGAGGGAGGGAATGGAAAGGAGAAAGCCCTGTCAGAGGTGAACACTGGGGTTTTGCCAGCTGAGTAAGCAGTTTGGCTCTCAGTCTTAGTTTGATAGGAGGCTCTTTTTTTTTTTTTTTTTTTTTTTTTTTTGGTTTTTCGAGACAGGGTTTCTCTGTGGCTTTGGAGGCTGTCCTGGAACTCACTTTGTAGACCAGGCTAGCCTCGGACTCACAGAGATCCACCTGCCTCTGCCTCCCGAGTGCTGGGATTAAAGGCGTGCGCCACCACCGCCCGGCAGGAGGCTCTTTTTTTATAATTATTAAGAAAGCTATTCTGGCCGGGCGTTGGTGGTGTATGCCTTTAATCCCAGCACTGGGAGGCAGAGGCAGGCGGATCTCTGTGAGTTCGAGACCAGCCTGGACTACCAAGCGAGTTCCAGGACAGCCTCCAAAGCCACAGAGAAACCCTGTCTCAAAAAACCAAAACAAAAAAAGAAAGAAAGCTATTCTGTTAAAGATTAACTTTATTTTTAGTTACATGTGCAGAGACCAAAGATATGAGGTCTCCCTTGAGCTGAAGTTACAGGCAATTATGAACTCCCACCCCTATGTGAGTGAGGTGCTCAGAGCAGTGCACGTTCTCCTGCATCTCTCCTGCAGGACTCATGTTTTGTTGTTGTTGTGCTGTTGTGCTGCTGCTTGAAATGAAGCCCAGGGCGTCCAGCCTGCTAGGCCAGTGCTCAACTGCATCCCAGCTCTCAGGTTCATACTCTGAAAAGAGCTGGCCATGGTGGCACACACCTTAAAGCCCAGCACTCGGGAGACAGAGGCCAGCCTGGTCTACAGAGTGCGTTCCAGGACAGCCAGGGCCACACAGAGAAACCCTGTGTGAAAAAACAAAACAAAGAAATCCATATCCGGCTGTCATATGGGAATTGGATTGCAATCAAGGATGATGTCAGGAAGAGTAACAAGAAGGCTAGGGATTTACTTAGGTCATATCTGAATTTGGTCTGTCCACTTCAATCTCAATCTCTCTCCTCTCTCTCTCTCTCTCTCTCTCTCCCTCTGTATGTGTGTGTGTATGCATATGCCCATGTGCCACTATAGAGGTCAGAGGGCATCTGCAGATATTGATGTTTGCTCTTCTACCTTGTGTGAGACAGAGCCTCTTTTTTTTTTTTTTTTTTTTTTTTTTGGTTTTTCGAGACAGGGTTTCTCTGTGGCTTTGGAGGCTGTCCTGGAACTAGCTCTTGTAGACCAGGCTGGCCTCGAACTCACAGAGATCCACCTGCCTCTGCCTCCCGAGTGCTGGGAGAGACAGAGCCTCTTTTGTTTACTAGGCTAGGTGACCTGAGAGTTACCAGGGCTTCTCCACTTCTTATCTCAACATAGCAGTCCCAGGATTATAGAATCATGTTACCATGCCCACCTTTACATGGGTTCTGGAGATCCAGATTTTAGTCTCCACAGTAGCACAATTGCTTTATCCACAAGGTCATCTTTTTTTTTTTTTTTTTTTTTTTGCCTGTGATGTGTGTGGCATGGGTTACTTGCATGCAGTGCTTGGAGAGGCATGAAGACTTCATATCCCCTGAAACTAAAGATATAAGTAGTTGTGAGATGTCTGATAAGGGTGCTGGGAATCAAACCTAAGTTCCCTGCAAGAGCAGCAAATGCCTTTAAGCACTAATGAATCTCTCCAATCCTCACTATTCTGTTTTTTTGAGACAGTCTCATGTAGTCTAGTGTGGCCTCAAATTTGATATGTAGCTGAGGATGACCTTAAACTTCTGATCCTCCTCTTCCAAAGTGCTGGGGTGACTGGTATGTGTCATTGTGCCTGCCAAAAATTGATTGGTTTTGCTTCATTTTTTTATGTGCATTGATGTATGCTATGTCTACGTGTATGACTATACACCAAGTGGATGCATTACCCTCAGTTCCAGAAGAGGGTGTTGGATTATCCCCTGGATTTATAAATGGTGGTGAACCTCCATATGGTTGCTGGGAATTGAACCTGGGTCCCCTGGAACAGCAGCCAGTACTAACCTCTGAGCCATCTCTTGGGTGTCTAAGATTGCTTGGTTTTCCTTTAATGAGGAAATAGTAACCGGCATCATGGGAGTTGAGAAATAGGAACCTCACAGGAGAGAAAGAGAGTTGTTGAGACAGAGTTTCAACTATGCTGTCTAGGCTAGCCTTGAGCTCCTAAACTCAAGCAGCTCTCCTGCCTCAGCTTCAGAGCAACCTAGTCTACAGGGTCACAGCACCACACCTGGCTTTGAAGGGCTTGACTGAGAAAGACGGTGGTAGGGCATATTTGATTGTTGCTAGAACTTGCCAGAGTAGAGAAAGAAATAATGTGGTGGGAATAGTTCTTGAAAGATGAGCTCTGGGGACTGGAGAGATGGCTCAGAGGTTAAGAGCACTGACTGCTCTTCCAGAGGTCCTGAGTTCAATTCCCAGCAACCACATGGTGGCTCACAACCATCTACAATTCAATCTGGTGCCCTCTTCTGGAAAAACACTGTATGTGTAACAAATAAATAAAAAGAAAGGTGAGCTCTGTCCAGCACACAGAGCCAGGGCTTAGGCTCTGCCAGGGGAAAAAAGCAGAAGGAAGTATGTGGGACTGGGATGCTTTCTGTGACAGGTGAGGTGTTAAAACCAGTGACATTTTGGCTGGGCAATGGTAGCTCACGCCTTTAATCCCAGCACTCAGGAGGCAGAAGCAGGTGGATCTCTGTGAGTTCAAGGTCAGCCTGCTCTACAGAGCAAGTTCCAGGACAGCCAGGGCTACACAGGGAAACCCTGTCCCAAGGGAGGGAAAAAAAATAACAGTGACATCTCATCTTTTCTTTTTAATTTTTTTTTCCAGAACCTGGTGCATAGTAGGCCAGATTCATCTCTGAACTCGCCAGCCCTTTTTACCTTTTCTCCTCTGTTATTACTGCATGTGTGACTGAGTGTTTCTGTTCCTCTCCCTGCAGCAGATTCCATGGTAGAACTCAGGTCTTCAAGCTCATGGAGCATTTTTTTTTTTTACGTGCTGAGCCTTCTCTCAATGACCCATTATGGTTTTGTATGTGCTTTTGATTTGTTGCTATTTTCCTTTTTTTTTTTTTTTTGTTATTTTGTTTTTTTGTTTTTTTGTTTTTCGAGACAGGGTTTCTCTGTACTGTTTTGGAGGCTGTCCTGGAACTCACTCTGTAGACCAGGCTGGCCTCGAACTCACAGAGATCCGCCTGCCTCTGCCTCCTGAGTGCTGGGATTAAAGGCATGCGCCACCAACACCCAGCTGTTGCTATTTTCAAACTAGGTCTCACTAAGTTTACAGCCAATATTAGCTGACTCTGCGGCACTGGCAGATCTTGAAACCTTTCTCCCTCACTCTGCCGAATACTTGGTATTACAAGTCTATCCTACCAGGCCCAGCCAGGGGCTTCCACAGTGAGTGAGTCAGGAGACATTTGATGAGGGGTCGGGTAGTAGGCAGAATTGTGTGGCTTCTCAAGCATCAGGTATGACTGATGAGGTGTATTTTTGCCCCCAAAGCAGCAATACCAAACAGCTAGGGAAGAGCAGAGTGGGGAGCCTGTCAACAGCAAAGTAGGAGAGTTGGCAGGAGCTACCATGTAGCCTAGACTGGGAAAGGGAGCAGACCAACGCTGGGGCTCTATCTCAGTAATAGAGCTCCTGTCTAAAATGGACCAGACAGAGGCTGGGACCATGGGGTGGAGTGTCCAGCTAGAAGCTACCTTTAAGAGGCTTGGGAATTGCTCAGTGGTAAAGCCCCTGCTTAGAATCTCCCAGTGGGCCAGGTGGTGGTGGCACACACCTTAAATCCCAGCACTTGGAAGGCAGGAGCAGGTGGATCTCAGTAAGTTCGAGGCCAGCCTGGTCTACAAAGCGAGTTCCAGGACAGCAGGACTGTTACACAGAGAAATTCTCTCTGTCTGGAAAAAAAAAAATCTCCCAGTGAGTGGCTGAAGGCATTACTTGATAGGAGCATTGGCCTAGCCTGTATCTTTAGCCCTTGATTCCATCTGAAGCACCCCACCCCCCCAAAAAATACTGACCAAGAGGGAGAGGAAAGATCAGAATGAGCTGCAGAGAGTAACTGGAGCTTGGCACGCCTGCTAGCCAAGCCTCGTGGAAAACACCTGTAATCCCAGCATTCAGGAGGTTGAGAAAGGCCACCCTCTGCTACATAGTGATTTTGAAGAATCAGCAAGGCTTTGGTGGTGCACACCTTTAATCCCAGCACTCGAGATGCAGAGGCAGGCGGATCTCTGTGAGCGAAAGGCCAGCCTGGTCTACAGAGTGAGTTCCAGGACAGCCAACACCCATATTAGAGACATGATCTGAAAATAGTTGGAGCTAGCTGTAGTTGTACTTTGGGAAGGCAAATTTTGGGTGGCAGACAGCAGTGCAAATTCCTGTAATGGGCTTGGGTTTCAGCTTATCTTTGGGGCCTCCCCTAGTCCCATTTTGCAATTTCTTACTTGATTGTGAAGGTTGAACTATTAATGGGACAGACCCAGGATCCTATGTGGTTGGAGCCCTACACAGGCTTCCGCTGGCCTGCACCTGGGAGTTGCGGCTCCCTCTGGGAGTCTGTCATGGCAGCAGCCTGAGTCTGGTCCCCTCCGCCCCCAGGAGATAGACCCCAGCTTGGGCGTGGCAGAGCTCCCTGATGAGTTCTTCGAGGAAGACAACATGCTGAGCATGGGCAAGAAGATGATGCAGGAGGCCATGAGCGCCTTCCCTGGCATCGATGAGGCCATGAGCTATGCCGAGGTCATGAGGTCAGCCTGGGAGGGGTTGGGGGATTGCTTGCCTGCTCTGGGAGGGCCTCTGGTGTGAGCCTGACCCTCATCTCCCCTCAGGCTGGTGAAAGGCATGAATTTCTCAGTGGTAGTATTCGACACAGCACCCACCGGACACACACTCAGACTCCTGAACTTCCCCACCATCGTGGAGCGGGGCCTGGGCCGCCTCATGCAAATCAAGAACCAGATCAGCCCCTTCATCTCACAGGCAGGTGCCACACACACCTCTGTCAGTGTCTTACCGAGCCATGCTCCACGTGGCAAAGCAAGAGGCGTGGTCCCGTCTCCTCCCTGTGAGGTGGACCGCCTCCTTCACATCTCACCTGCTGTGTGACCTCAAGTAGATGTCTCTACCTCTCTGGGTCTCCTTTCCTTCTCTGTCAACTTCAGTGTCACTTCAACAGCATAGACATTTAAAAAATAAATGGAGGGTCTAAGAATGGTTCTGTGGGTTGTCAGTACTGTGGCACTTGTCCCCACTCCCGTGTCTACCTCTGGAGCATGCATGTACCTTCCTCCAGTCTCAGATAGTAGTGTCTGCTGGGTGTCTATTTAGTGTCTACCACCAATCTGTAATGAAACATGACAGCTCACATAGCACAACAGCTCTTGGAGGTAAGGTATGGAGATAGAAAAACTGAGACTTCAAGAGGTCAGATATCTTGGCCATGTTTGCCCACAAAGTGGAGCTAAAATTACACAGACTTACCCCAGGAGTTGGCCCCAGGACCCACACCTTTAGTGGGGACGCTGCAGTATTCAGGAACCCTTGATGGGCCCAGAAAGGTGGCAAACCTGTCCTCTCGTCCCCACAGATGTGCAACATGCTGGGCCTGGGGGACATGAATGCTGACCAGCTGGCCTCCAAGCTAGAAGAGACGTTGCCTGTCATCCGATCCGTTAGCGAGCAGTTCAAGGACCCTGTGAGTTGTGACCCAGCAGGTAGTGAGAGCCCCATGAGGATGGAGTAGCCGACTCCTCCCCTTGCTCTTGCCTTGTGCCCCACAGGAACAGACGACCTTCATCTGTGTGTGCATCGCCGAGTTCTTGTCCTTGTATGAGACGGAGCGGCTGATCCAGGAGCTGGCTAAGTGCAAGATTGACACCCACAACATCATCGTCAACCAGCTCGTCTTCCCTGACCCTGAAAAACCCTGCAAGATGTGTGAAGCTCGTCACAAGATCCAGGCCAAATACCTGGACCAGGTGTGCCCACCTGCCCAGCCCAGCCAGTAGAGTGCTGGCGCGCTCGCATATGTGTGTGTGTGTGTGTGTGTGTGTGTACACCTGTGCATGCATGTGTGCATTTTGATCTTGCTGAGGATACTACTTGAGCCTTTTTACGTGCTTAGTAATTCTATTCTGCAGAGCCATGCCCCCCAGTCCTGTCTGACCTCTGCACCCCTGATGACCTACCCTCTTCCCTGTCCTGGGCTTTCTGTATCTCAACTGAGACTGGACTGGACTGGGAAGCATGACACCTAGGCCAGCCCTGGACTTGCTGGCCCCACTCCCACTTACATAGCAAGACCTGCCCCTCCCCCGCCCCTTGTAAGCCCCTTCTGCCCTTAATCTCTGCTTTCTGCTCTCTAACCTGGTTACAGATGGAAGACCTGTATGAAGACTTTCACATTGTGAAGCTGCCACTGTTACCCCACGAGGTTCGGGGAGCCGACAAGGTCAACACCTTCTCTGCCCTGCTCCTGGAGCCCTACAAGCCCCCCAGCACCCAATAGCACCACCACTCACCCCAGCTGCTGCCACTGACACCCCTTCTTTCTCCTGGGGCAGAGTTTGCACAAAGTCCCCCATGGTACGGGGGAGCCATTTAGGAGGTGGGAAGTTGGGAGGGGATCTGTTCCCCCTGGTGGGGCCTGGGGAGGCTGCAACACCCCCCACCTCTCCCTGCCTCACACTCCTCAATAAAATAATCTTAAACAGCTGTTTGTTAATGGAGGCATGGGTAGGTAAGCGCTGTGTACAGCCACATAGATTGTACACTGCAAAAAGTCGTCTCCCTCTCGCAGGGATCCATACCTGGCAAACCTGGGGTGACGTGCTTGTGGTAGCAGCCGTGGAAAGAAGCTGTCTTGGGTAAAGAGCAACCCTTTCTAGGGCTGCAAAACTCCCTTCCTTAAAAACTCATGCCAGAGCCGGGCGTTGGTGGGGCACGCCTTTAATTCCAGCACTCGGGAGGCAGAGGCAGGCGGATCTCTGTGAGTTTGAGGCCAGCCTGGTCTACAGAGCGAGTTCCAGGACAGCCTCCAAAGCCACAGAGAAACCCTATCTCGAAAAAAAAAAAAACATGCCAGGTGTATTGGTACAGGTCTTTAATCCCAAGAGGCAGAGGCAGGTGGATCTCTGTGAGTTTGAGGCCAGCCTGGTTTACAAAGTGAGTTCCAGAACAGCCAGGGCTGTTAAACAGGTGAAACCCTGTCTCAAAAAAAACCAAAAAGGGGATCTCTGAGTTCGAGACCAGCCTGGTCTACAGAGCGAGTTCCAGGACAGCCTCCAAAGCCACAGAGAAACCCTGTCTCGAAAAACCAAAAAAAAAAAAAAACCAAAAAGGGCCGGGCGTTGGTGGTGCACGCCTTTAATCCCAGCACTCGGGAGGCAGAGGCAGACGGATCTCTGTTCGAAACCAGTCAGGACAGCCTCCAAAACAATACAGAGAAACCCTGTCTCTTGAGAAAAAAAAAAAAAAAAAAAACAGCGTGTGGGAATCTTTAGGCCCCATGGCCAGCCCCAGGCTAGTAGGGAAAGGATTAAGCAGGCAATGAGCCCAACACCACCTGCTGTTTAGTTTGGGAATTAGTGGGCGCCCTAGGCAGAGGCTGGGCCTGCCAGACTGGGGATTAAGGATCTGCATACACACCCCTAGTTCCTGCCTTCCTGAGATGCTTTCAGCCCCTCCTGGGGTGGGACTGATGAGGACTGGCAGGAGGCAGAAGATGCTGGGTTTTCCTTCAGGCTGGTTCAGAGAAGGCTTCCCAAGGCAGACCCATGTCCCCTGCCTTCCCTCTACACCTGCTGAACAGCCCTGAAATGGACACCTGAGAGACTGGGAATAAAACATGACTTTTGTGTGTTTTCAAGTTCCAAGCCACAATTGCTTGGTGTGAGGGGACAAGGGGTGTTGGAAGACATACATGACTCAGAAGTGTTCCTGGTACACCCAGGGTCTAGGCGTGCCGGGGAATGCATGCGAGGGGAACCTAATCATGAGCCTAGACTTGTCCTTCTGCTGGACTCCGGGTGTGTACAAGCTGGTATGGGCACGTTGGAATGACAAAAGTAAACAAAATGGAAGCAGCCGTAGGGAAAAAGGACCACAGACTCCAAGCCCATATTGCTTGGGTTCAGATCCTAACCGTTTGTATCGTCAGAGATGTGGTTTGCCCGTTAGGCTGGTGGAGACAACAGGAACCGTCTCCCGTACTGCCACAGGTTTTCCTCCGGCACCCGGCTCAGCCCTCAGCAGTGAGAGGCCATTGAACCAGGCAACCTGCCCTCCAGACCAGCTGGGGGTCGGGACTTGTGTGGGAACGTGTGCTAGAGAAGGGATGAGCTGCGGGAGGCAGGGCGGTCTGGCAAAGAACAGCCTGTCCAGTTCCCAGGTCCCACAGTGTCACCCCAGCCAGCTATCGCTGCTGGAGTTTATAGGCTGCTGGGCAGCTGGACAGCGGAGATATGGGTCCAACGGTGGCCAGCCCAAGCTGGTTCCTAATTTACCCAGGTGGGGCAGACATCTGCCAGCCTGGGAACACTGTGTCCTGGCCAGATGGGCCTCCCAGTGGGCTGCACTGGGCCATTCCCGCTTCTGCTGCTGAACAGGTGGATACCAAGGAACTCATGGGGACCTCAGAGAGCCCGTCCCCTGAGCCTCTGCCCCTCTCAGACCCATGGATCTGTAGACTTACTTGAAGTTGGGGGTGGCAGTGGGAGTGTCCTTTGTACCAAGCTGGGAGTGGCCCACCTGTTGGTGTGTCCCTGAAGAGAGGACATCTGTTTCGAATCAGAGCCAAATGTAGGGACAAGGATTTATGTCTCTGGTTATCTGTTCAGGACATTGAGTATGAGAACCGGGTATATGTCTAGGTGTTTCTGTACACAGCACATAAAGGAAGCATTGAGATGAGGCTTTTTTTTTTTTTTAAATTTTAGACAGGGCCTGTCTGTATAACTTAGATTGTCCTTGAATGCTTAGCCTCTAAAATGCTGGGATTATGGGTATATGCCACTGTGCCTGCCTAAATATATTAATGTACAAATGCATTAATGTCACTGGGGTTTGAGTTGATGAGAACGATAAGGAAAGTTCCCTATTGTCATCCCCTGCCATGCTAGGAATGGAACCTAGGGTTTCACAAATGCTTAGCAAGTCTTCTGCCATTAAGCTACCTACAGTCAGGACCCACCAAAGACCTGCTCTGACCCTAGGATTGTATTCCACTGCGTTGAGGGAGGTCTTCCCACACTTCTCATGTGACTTCAAACTGAAAGTCTGTGGCTGTGGATGGGAAGGCTTGGGTGGCTGTGTGCTCTCCTGAGTCCTTGTCATATGATGAGAGCTTACAGGAAGGCAGGCCCCTGGCCTGCTACTTCTGCCTTCCTATAAGACTGTTCACAGCAGCTAGAGTGAGTCCGTGAGCTGAGAGCTGGCTGCTTCCGGGTTTCACTGGCCTTACAGCCACTTGCTGTAAGGAGGGAAAGAGGGTGAGGCTGTATGTGCCTTGGTGACTTCAGACCAGTCATGAAACATGGTGTGTGTGTGTGTGTGTGTGTGTGTGTGTGTGTGTGTGTGTGTGTGTGTGTGTGTGTGTTGGGGGCGTCTGAGGGCAGCTTTGTGGAGTTGCTTCACTTTATACAGGTTTCAGGGGTTAAACTCATGTCGTGACATTTTTGTTTGTTTTGAGTTTTATTTTTTGGAGGCAGGATTTTATTGTATTCCCCTGGCTGTCCTGGAACTCACTCTGTAGACCAGGCTGGCCTCGAACTCACAGAGATCCGCCTGCCTCTGCCTCCCGAGTGCTGGGATTAAAGGCGTGCGCCACCAACGCCCGGCTCAGCATTATTTTTTGTTAATTTATTTTTTACATTCCAATCCCAAATCCCCCTCTCTCCTTCCCTCCACCTCTCTCCTTCCCTCCCACTCTCTCCACTCCCCCTCCTCCCATGCCAGGATTACTCTTTATACAGAATCCTACCATGTAGCAAACTGAGGTTTGCTTCAAATTCACTATGTAGCCCAGGTTGGTGATCCTCATGCCTCTGCCTCCCAAAGAATGCTAGGATTATAGAGATGCACCTTTATACATTTTTGGTGGGGAAAGGGTCTGGAACTCTCTACGTAGATCTGCAAACCAGGCTGTTCTCAAACTCACATATTCTGCCTGCCTCTGCCTCTCTAGTGCTGGAATTAAAGGGGTAACTTCCTTTTTTTTTTTTTTTCTTGAGATAGTGTTTCTCTATGTAGTCCTGGCTGTCCTGGAACTCACTATGTGACCAGATTCTAGACCAGGCTGGCCTTGAACTCAGATCCATCTCCCTCTGCCTCCCAAATTCTGGGATTAAAGGCATACACCAACACTGCCAGGCTGTTTATATTGGGTGTTTTGCCTGCATGTACAAAGATACACTCCATAAGTACTTAGTGTCCAAGTAGGCAAAATGAGAGCATCAGGACCCCTGGAACTGGGGGTAAAGACAGTTGTAAGCAAAAATGTGGATGCTTGGTACCAAATTCTGTGAGAGCAGTATGAGCTCTTAACCCCTGAGCCATAACTCCAGTCCTGCTCTTTCAATTATGTGTATAGTGTCTATGCCTGTGTGGGGACATGTGTTGTAACTTAAAAACCAGTGTGTGAGAGAAAGACACTATGCGACAGAGGGTTTTTGTTTTTGTTTTTGTTTTAATTAAAGGAATGGGGAGAGGAGAAACTGGCCTCTGGAGACAAGAACAGCAGAAAAGAGAGGCAGAGAGAGGGTGAGGGACAGGCAGAGAGGCAGAGAGAGACAGAGAGGGAGGGAGAGAGAGAGGGAGGGAGAGAGACAGAGAGACAGAGAGAGAGAGAGAGGGGGAGAGAGGGAGAGACAGAGAGAGGGAGAGACAGAGAGACAGAGAGAGAGGAGATGAGAGGTGGACAAGACCTACCTTTTAAAAGGGAACGTAGTGAATGTGCACAGGAGATGCTCTTAGTGGCTGCAGCTGAGGACACATCCTGTCAGGACCCCAAGACAGGTCAGTACAGACGCCTGAATACTAACAATATGTGCACCTGAGTACAGGTGTCCTTGGATCCCGTGGGGCTGGAGTCACAGGTGGTTGTGAGCTGCCAGAGTGTGGCCGGGGACAAACTCAACAAGAGCAGTGTACACTCTTAAGCACTGAGTCATCTCTTCAGCCCCACTATTGGCCTTCTGAGACCCAGTCTCACCCGATAGCCCAGACTAGCCTGGAACTCAGGACAGTCCTCCTGGCTTAGCTGGCGACGTACCTGGCTGACCTTGTAAGTCTCCGTGTGACAGTGTGGCTTGCCATGATGGCTTAAGTAAAACTGTGTTAGGGGAAGCTAAATGTGTGCCTGGGTCTACACTGCAGCTGGTGATCACAGGCAACCAAACGGCGACCCAGTCTTGCTGGCTGTGTGTGTGTGTGTGTGTGTGTAGGAGGGAGCCTCTCCCCTCTCTTCCAGCTGTAGGTTCCTTTTCCCTACTAGGAAGGGAGACAAGACAGTACAGGGCAGACCTACCACACACACACCACCCCACCCAACCCCACCCCCCCTGCCCAGGAGACAAACTGGCATACCTTCTCCAAACAAAGTTCTGAGGCTGTCGCTCAGCTAGAGAGAATGGACCTGGGAGAGGCTGTCCCGTCCCGCACAGAGTCTGGCTTCAACCCCACCCAACACTGAAGACACCCTCCCACTCAGTCTCT